AGCAGGGAGAGTAGGAAGAATAAATCAATGTCTGCACCTGACAAAATCTGTGCTCTGATGTTGCTGGCAACAGGGGGCGGTTCCAAAGCGATGATGTTCGATGGTATGGGCATCTGTGTTGCAGAGAAGAGGGAAAATTATGATCTAGCCTGGGGAAGAGAGTTCTCCCTGAGGAGGGAGAAGCTCCTGGGTTGTTTGCAGAGACAGTCTCAAGCTTAGGTCGGCCCCTGGGGCTTGGGTAGTAACGGGGAAGGTAAAGGAAGAGGAAAGCTGGGGTGGAAAATAGTCTGTCTGGGTCTGCGCCGCTAGCAGAGGCAGCCTCACGCTAGGGCCCACGGTCGGAGCTGTAGGCAAAGGACATAAAAGTGAATTTGAGACTGATGACTGGGCCTGTGCTGCTAGCGGAGTCATCCTCACAATAGGGTCTGTGGGAGAAGCTGTAGGCCACTGATAGGGGAAAAGGTTAGAGGCAGAGGGAGGAGAGGGAAATGTTATCTGGGCCTGTGTCCCTAGCGGAGGCAGCCTCGCGCTAGGAACTGCAGGCAAAGGACAATGGGGAGGGTTAGAGATGGTGGGATGAAATTCCTGAGGCGGCTGATTGCTCCACTAGCGGAGGCAACCTCATGCTAGGGGGAAGGCATTTGTTGAGGGGAGCAGGCATTGTTGTACTGGGTGGAGCGCTGGGGAAAACCGCGGTGTGTGGCTGAGTAGAGGGAGGAGGAGATTGGGGCCTGGCAGTGGCAGAATCTGGGGCGCAACCCAGTCTCGCTGAAGGCCTGCTGCCGCGGCTGACGCAGGGGAGGAAGACCGTGTTTGAAAGGGATGCGGCTTTGGGCACTTACGGTCTTTGTTCGCTCTACTCGCTGCCTTAGAGGGTAAAAAGGATTTAGGAGAGGCGCAAGCTGTCTGCAGGTTGACGTACAATTGATATTACTGTGCTTTATTCATATGTCTTAATCCCTACAGTGTCCATTTCTCGATTGCAGATATAATTGGATGGGCAAGGGTGTACGAAGATGGCAAGGAGGATGGTGGAGGTCTCACCGGTAGGAGCAGGGCTCTGCATCTTGGGGTGTGGAGAACAGAATGGATGGGCTGGCAAAAGCGCAATGGAGCCGGAGGCTCTGTGGCAGCACCCGGCAGAGAGTGGGTGCTGCTTAGTTCGGCGGAGTGCGGCAAAAGATTTCGGGAGAAGAGGGATGCGTCATCAGACGGGAACAGCTCAGTCTCTGACATAGCTGCAATTGGGCGGGTCCTAATGCAGAAAACTGTCGAGGAACATAGGTGAGTCGGCTATGTATATACAGTGGGGCAAAAAAGTATTTAGTCAGCCACCAATTGTGCAAGTTCTCGCACTTAAAATGATGAGAGAGGTCTGTAATTTTCATCATAGGTACACTTCAACTATGAGAGACAAAATGAGAAAGAAAATCCAGAAAATCATATTGTAGGACTTTTAATGAATTTATTTGCAAATTATGGTGGAAAATAAGTGTTTGGTCACCTACAAACAAGCAAGATTTCTGGCTCTCACAGACCTGTAACTTCTTCTTTAAGAGGCTCCTCTGTCCTCCACTCGTTACCTGTATTACTGGCACCTGTTTGAACTTGTTATCAGAATAAAAGATACCTGTCCACAACCTCAAACAGTCACACTCCAAACTTCACTATGGCCAAGACCAAAGAGCTGTCAAAGGACACCAGAAACAAAATTGTAGACCTGCACCAGGCTGGGAAGACTGAATCTGCAATAGGTAAGCAGCTTGGTGTTAAGAAATCAACTGTGGGAGCAATTATTAGGAAATGGAAGACATACAAGACCACTGATAATCTCCCTCGATCTGGGGCTCCACGCAAGATCTCACCCCTAGTGAATGACCTGCAGAGAGCTGGGACCAAAGTAACAAAGGCTACCATCAGTAACACACTACGCCACCAGGGACTCAAATCCTGCAGTGCCAGACGTGTCCCCCTGCTTAAGCCAGTACATGACCAGGCCCTTCTGAAGTTTGCTAGAGAGCATTTGGATGATCCAGAAGAGGATTGGGAGAGTGTCATATGGTCAGATGAAACCAAAATATAACTTTTTGGTAAAAACTCAACTCGTCGTGTTTGGAGGAAAAAGAATGCTGAGTTGCATCCAAAGAACACCATACCTACTGTGAAGCATGGGGGTGGAAACATCATGCTTTGGTGCTGTTTTTCTGCAAAGGGACCAGGACGACTGATCCGTGTAAAGGAAAGAATGAATGGGGCCATGTATCGTGAGATTTTGAGTGAAAACCTCCTTCCATCAGCAAGGGCATTGAACTTGAAACGTGGCTGGGTCCTTCAGCATGACAATGATCCCAAACACACCGCCCGGGCAATGAAGGAGTGACTTCGTAAGAAGCATTTCAAGGTCCTGGAGTGGCCTAGCCAGTCTCCAGATCTCAACCCCATAAAAAATCTTTGGAGAGAGTTGAAAGTCGGTGTTGCCCAGCGACAGCGCCGAAACATCACTGCTCTAGAGGAGATCTGCATGGAGGAATGGGCCAAAATACCAGCAACAGTGTGTGAAAATCTTGTGAAGACTTACAGAAAACGTTTGACCTCTTTCATTGCCAACAAAGGGTATAAAACAAAGTATTGAGATAAACTTTTGTGATTGACCAAATACTTATTTTTCCACCATAATTTGCAAATAAATTCATTAAAAATCCTACGATGTGATTTTCTGATTTTTTTTTTCTCATTTTGTCTCTCATAGTTGAAGTGTACCTATGATAAAAATTACAGGCCTCTCTCATCTTTTTAAGTGGGAGAGCTTGCACAATTGGTGGCTGACTAAATACTTTTTTGCCCCACTGTATATATAGGCCTCCTCTTGTTCTGATTGGATAGGCAATATGAATGGGTTCCTCCCAAATTTTGTCAAGAAAAAATTATAACAGTCACAACTGGATACTAGACAAAGATGAAAATTTCGAGTGTGTATGTGTCACTAGTATACTCAGTATACTCAGCGCATTTGGGCTTTAGACCAAAGTATTTTGTTTTTTATGTGCTTTATGTACTTAAAGTGCACAAATTTTGTCATCAACCCAAATTTTCAAACTCTGTAATTGTAATTTTACATTCGTAAAAGAAATGGATGAGATGGAACAACAACAGACTACTAATGATGGCAAAAACAATACCTATATATACATTTGTACGCATATGCTAGTGTTCGTGTCAAAACTTTTTAGGATTTATGCATTCGGCTGTGTGCATACATTAAGTGCTTGAATTAAAACGGAAGTATACTTTGGGAATTACACTAGTGGTTTTCAACTGGTTGGTCGAGACCCAAAAAAGGTCACAGGTCTGTTTTGACAGGATAGCTAAATAAAAAAAATAAAAATAAAAAAGTATCTAATAATTGTGCATAGTAAAAGAGCAAACTAAATAGGCTTATTAACTGGTTGGAAAAAACATTATACTGTACATATCTTTTGTTGCTCATGTTCAAGTCCATGCATCCAATCAAACTACGCCCACATTATACATTAAATATGGGTTCAATTGCAACAAGGGTTAAAATAAGCAGTTAAAATGGCCACACTAGACTTTACCTTCCATTGTCTTTCATTCTTATGCATTTATACATATGCATGGGAGACCGGATACGCAACATAATGGAAATTAGTTTTGCAGTTTGTTGCAAACAAAAAAGTTAAAGTTTTGGTGAACTCTGACCTGCAAATGCATATGACGTGACCAAAATTTGTTACCTACATTTCCAATTCAGCTGTTCATGTAAATAATTGTGGCTTTTCTTGGGCCTATGCAGTTTTCAATAAATATATTATTTACCTTAGTATAACAATCAATTTCGGAACTGTGTTTGGTTGCCACTTATAACTCGGATAATTTGGGTATTAAAGCAAATCCAGCTGAAAACCACTTAAATCTCTTAGATGTTTGTTTTTCATTCATCTGAAAACACCTCAAAATGTGACTCTACTGCCTCTTGGCCATCTCCATATGCCTTCAGCTCAATGACCAAAATCATTGATGCAGTATGGTGTAAATGGGACTCTGTGGGGTTCCACAGGAAGTGACCGCCAGGCTAGGTAGTTTCCTGGCTCGGGCTGTGTAACAGACGGTCCGTGTTGGCTCTGACAGCCAACCGATCTCCTGCAGCGGGGCAAGAACAACACTGCTCAAAATACTGACAAACTAGTGACAGAAAGCCACCACACATACAGTATGAGCAGGATGCACAGTGCAGGAACTACAAAGATTCTAGCTTTCAGATGGGTGTGGAGAAGAGGACATTCATAGCTGCTGTATCCATGACAGTATTAAAAACTGCTAAAATTTGCTAAAAAAAAAAAAAACAGTGCTTGCAAGGCAGCAAAAAAAAGTTGTAGGTTCGTTTATGGGTTTTCAAATGAAATTGTATATCAGAGTATATCTTGCTTATTATAAAGCTCACACACATCTGGTTTTCTTACATCTGTGTACAAGAATCAACAGCTAACATGACATCATCTTTGAAGTGTAAATACAGATATAAATGGTTAAATAAATGCATGAGAGAAAAGAAAGAAGACCAATCACAATTCAGTATGCAAATAAATGCAAAATAGAACATGAATCACAAATAAGTATGCAAATTGTACAATGACATTATCACTCTGGGTTTTATTTTGAATGGCCAAATGCTAATGATGTAACTCAATATTGATTTACTTTAATTTTACATTTCGCAAGTATAATGTTTACAAAAGCAAAACTAGACAGCACATAGACTACACTGAAGAATAAAAGTATCTACAAAAGTATCTATGGAGGTTTAGGCTGAATTTCTTGCAGAAAAGTATGAGCAAAATAAACAAATATATATTTCTATACAATGCTGCCTTGCAAACACAGTAAGAAATATTTACTGCAAATTGTGTAAGGCATTCATTATGCTGTTACACTTTCTTTTCGTTGCATATATACAAGTGTTATGTATTATTATGACTTACCCTCCCTCACAAATCTGTACCCGTGAGCTGTACTTGGAGGTAGATAGTTGGTCGTCCTTCTCCACTGCTGTTTTCTTTTCTACCTCTGTCAACTCAGCTTGCTGGGCTTCTTTCGGTTCTGTGGACTGAGTGGCATGTACCTACACTCGAGAGAGACACGGGCAAGTTCACCAACCCTTTTCCGGGAGCCCAGGGAGACAGAGATGGGTTGGGGGGGGGGTCTCGTTCAACATTTTAAGTTGACTTTGTATACTTTTTATAAGTAAAATTTACAAGTTTACATTAACGTTGTCTTGTGAAGATTAAGTTTAATCACATTTTAAAACTGTGGAGTGGGGACTGTGGAGTGGGGACTGTAAGTCACTTACCTTTTGTATTACTTAAAACCCTCATATGCCTTTTAAAATACTGAGCTAAAAAAAACATACTCCCTTGATTTAATAATATCAATGTCAGCAAGCAAAACAGTTATTCTCCCAACTGAAAAATTAAGTTTAAAGTGGACAAGCTGTTTTGGGAACATGGTAGCTGGTTAACCAACTAATGACCAGCTTGGAGCAGCTAGAAACCAGCTACCATGTTCTAAAACACAGCTACAAGCTTAAGCTGATTTTCCAAGCAGGGCAGAAAGAATTGACGTGATGAATGCAAGAGTTGTTACATTTACCTCAGTCACGTTAGGCTTTTGGGACTCAGGTGTCTCTTGTTTCCTGTCCAGAGGAGGTGACATGGCTGCCATGGTGTAGATGAGTGGTTCTGGTCTCTGCCTGCAGTGCAACAGGGCTAGCATTTCCTTGCTTGTCAAGCCAGGAGGGTTTGGATTGCGGGTACTTGTACACCATGTAGAATAGACTGAGTTTTGTTGTTCACTCTGTATAGATGGATTGGGCTTTATGTAGTTTAGATAGCACCAGGTAAAAGTAAGGTTAGTGTTAAGAGTCAGAAATGGTGATTCTTTGTGTTCTGTTGGTAAGATGATACTTTGCTCACCCAGTCTTTCATCCTTCTTGCATTCAATCAAAACTTCATCATTCCCCCTTTCATTTTCCTGGTTTTTCTCCTCCTCTTTCACACGTTTCTGCTGTTGCTCACTTTCTGGGCTGAGCTCCTCACTGCTTGTCGGGGATAGCACACGTTTGGTTGCTCCAGCACTTACTGATTTGAATCCATCAGATATTGATTGTTGGTCCATGATTTCAAACTTTGAGGCCCCTTGAATTGAACTGACTCCAGAGCAGCAAGGTTCCTGAGGCCTTGAGGCAAATGTTTGTGAAACTGTAGTATAAATAGAGCCTGCATGGTGTGGAAGGTGTGAATTAAGACGGACTGGAATTCTCTGGGCTGGTAAAGGTCTCAGTAGTTCTGTGTTTGAAGTAACATCAAAACCAAGATTCCGATGGTGGCGATAATGAGTGAGGTATGGTTGGTTGACCCTTGCATCAGAATTCACCAAGTCATTCTCCATTGGAATTTCAAGCTTGAGTCCTGTCGACATTGAAGAATAATGAGCTCTGGCAGCACCTGATGGACAAAGCAGACTTCCCATTGTTGTGGGCTGGTCAGTATGAATAAATGGGGTCAACTGCAATGCATTCTGCTGGGTATTCTCTGATAAAACATCCTGTGATTGCATGATCTGCTTTTCACTAAATGTGTTTATAGTATTGCTTAAAGACAGAAGATGGGTGGTGGTTGGACTGTACGAGATTGCTGGGCTATGGCTAGGTGATGTGCTAGTCCTTTGAGTTGGAGAACTGGTGTTGAAGACTTTAGAAGATTGATCCTCCTCCTCAGGTTCCCTCACTGCACTATGCCTCATTAGAAGGCATTTCCGCCTTTCTCTCCATCCTGCAGGGGTCCGATCTGGAGACAAACTGCTGTAGTCAAAAGACTTACTGCGAGTTTCCTTAATAAGGTTAACATGTTGAGGAACATGGGGTGCCTGCTCAGATGCAGAGCGCCTCATTTCTCTGTGAGAATTTGTGGGAATTGTCAAAGTATGAGTGGCTCTTGATCTCCTAGTTGGTGTCATATCTGCATCGGCTTTGCAAGCCTCTTCAAATGAAGTTGATCGACTGGAGGTGTGAGACACACAACTGTCTTGACTTGGACTGTGAGGCAGGGACATTGATTCAAAGCTTGAGTCCTCTGATGACTGGGCAGCTTCTGCAAGACGGAGACGTTTCTTTTTAGGCGGTAACTTCTCAATTGGAAGTTGGGCTAAAGTTGGACTTCTTTGGGGCCATTGGAACTCACTGACCTTTTCAGCGTCCTTGATTTTAGGTACAGTTGGAGGGGGTGATACTGCCAATGTGTTGGTGTTTGAATCTTCAGTGACCAGAATCTCTGGCACTTGGACATTGTGTTGCCGTACAAGTTTACGGAAGTATGGTTTAGTTGACTGCTCCTTTGATTGTGAGCAAGGAGAACAATGGGAGACATCATGAGGGTGAGAGACCTCATCTGGTCCAGGGTTTTTTAAAGTACTATCATGTTTCTCAAATGAACTAGTATGCTGTATGACAGATATTCCTTTCAAAGCACATTCTGTGCCATGTTCTTGACCTAATTCAATGGTCCCTTTAATAGGTTGTTCACAAGATGGCGTATATCCCTTGAGTGATATATAAGAAAGCGAGGGTAAAGAAGGATTGTCAAGTTCTATACTCTCTTCTTTTCTTCTTTTTCTAAATGCAAAAGCACCAGGACGAGTTGTGAATTTTCTTGTGTGTTCTTCCACTTGATAGACTGGAATTTCAGTTTGTTGAGAAATATGAACCATGCAGTGTGTTTGATATCTCTCCCAGTCATTAAAAACTATGCCACATGCATCACACTCAAGTGCCTCTTGTTTCTGGCTGGGATCAGGCACTGCAGGAACTGAGGGATGAAATGAAGAGCTGGAATAGGGGTGTTCATCTATGGTAATTTCAGCACCGATGGGCAATTCAATGGCAGGCTGTCGTCTTAGCATACCATGACGCCGATTCTGAACTGGTTGCTGGTCATCAAAGGATTGGCTAAGGCGAAGACTAGGAGAAGTTTCAGACACATCACTAACGCTTGCATCTGAGGGCATGGAGTGACTTCTCAGAAGAAGAGCAGTTGGTGTTGCGTCAGTTGGTTCCATACTGAGAGAATGGTGCTGAAATTTCTCACAAGGTACACCAAGAGTAATTGAACCACTGCTCTTTGTACTCACATCTATTTCTTTTGGACTGTGAAGGAAAGGCTCTTTAGAAGAGGCTGGCTTCAGTTCTGTACTGCTTCTCCTAGAGAGTGAGAACCTTCTTGGTTTGACACTGTCAATCTTACTGGTGTCTACCACAGCCTCATTGATGGTGATGAGTTTTGTTATGTGGTCAATAACTTGCTTTTTTGGCACAGAGAATGGAATTCTTTTACTTTCTTGCCCAGCAGGATGGGCATGTTGCTGATGGGCAGTCCTTTGTAATTGACCAAGACGACCAAACTTTCCAAGGATGACCTCTGCATAGCTTTTGGCACTTGTGTTTGGTGGACTATCTTGAGAGACTTCCGTGCTCTCGGATCGAGAGAAATAGCCTGACTCTGTGCTACCTTTGCTACTTAGACCAAATGATGAGGATGTTTCATCAGATGATCCTATAGGTGTACGTCTTCCTCTGCTAAGTCTCATTGCAAGTCTCTTTTTAACTGCATGAGAATCTTCTGCACCTTTTAACTGTTTATCAGAGCACTTTTCTGTAGTATTTTGCTTTTGAATGGACATCCTTTGTTTTTCTAAAAAGGAAGATGGTTGGCTTTCATCTTCTGATTCTGTAAGTGGCTCCTCTGAACAACTTATACTTGGTCCTTCCCTGTCTGCAGTCAGACCAGCTTTCACCCTGTGAGTATGTGATTTTCTGTGCTTGTACAGGTTACTTTTAGTCTTGAAGGAGAACCCACATGGTGCACATGGGTAAGGTCTCTCTCCAGTGTGGGAACGAATGTGTTTCTGAAGCACACTGGGCTTGGCACAAGCACGACCACAGTATGAGCACACATACTTTCCAGGCTTTTGAGGTTTACGCTCCCGTTTTTGTCGAGGTGTACCTTCCAAGGCCTCATCCATGGAACAGGATGGTATAGCTGATACTGCTGAGGATGAAGCTCCAGATGGCATTTCACTAGGCTGCCTCATGTTATCATCAAGATATTCAGAACTACCAGATGCCCTTGGTGGCTTTCCCTCTTCAACATTGTCTGTCTCCTGAGCAGTTTTCTTCTGTAATCTGAGACGCTTTCTCTCAGGATTAATACGTTTTTGCTGTTGTGCATGATGCTGCTGGGTGCCAACCTTGCTCTGTTCATGATACTGTGGTACTGAATGTGGCTGGGGGCTGTCCACTGGAGTCTCATTCTGCTTTTCTAAACCTCCAGATTGCTCCCCTGTGGTCAACTGGCTATGCAAGGCCTCCATAAAATTTTATGAAAGCCTGAAGTACTGTTTATTCCAGACTACGAATGACCAATTAATTTAATTAATTCAGAGCATCGCTTAATACATTGTTTCATTCAACATATGCATGGATCGTCACAACTGTAGCATTCTGTATACATCATTGCTTGATGTGAGAAGAGCTTCTTCAAATTAATTTTATGGAATACCAATACAACTTTTTCAGTTACAGATAATTCTTCCTCTTCTGTTTCTTGTCCTTTCTTGTCCTTGGAAATCCATGGCAACTATGTTTTTCCATGAGTGCCCTGTCTGGTTCTCAAGTCCCTGTGTTCTGCAGATGTTTTATGTTCTGCCTGGTTCAGATGATGATCCACTTCAAAGATTCAAATTCTGGGAAATATCAGAAGGCAACAGAATTAGTCAGACTGTCAATTCTACATTATAATTGCTGATAGAATATCATACACAATACACCCTATATTCATGTGTGTAGCAATACTCAAAGCCTCCAGACCACACAGAGCATGCACACAAAATAAATATGTGAGCATTTGAAAGCAGTAGCCTGACTGTCAGACAGATCGAAAATATCGATCTACGTTTGTACTTTCTATTTCCAATACTGCAGAAAGACTGGCATGTTACTTTTTCTTTTTTAATTTAGTTGACTTGGTACCAAAGTACCAAAACTTCTGAAATTACTAAATCACTTAATTAACTACATCTAATGGGATCGTAGCTAACCTTTTTCCAGCTATTAACATACAGTTGTTCACATTGACTGTTACAAGTAAATTGGTTAAATAAAAGCTGTCTAACTGGACTAAAAGTAACACTAAAGTGTCTGTGTACATGTATGTGCATATAAAAAAGTGTAATGTATGTAGTAACAAAGAGTGAATACTACAGGTTCTTTGGTATTCTTAACAAAAGCACAAATTCGGACAGCACTCACTGACTCTGACACTACTTTCACTAGAACACAATAAGGAATTAGGCATCCCACTCACTGACCAGCTGGTATTGGCACCCACGCTTTGCTTTAGGGGGCGGTTAGGTGTGGAATCACAGGAGATCCTGCTGGTACATATCAAAATCCCTGCCAATTATACATTCCAGCACAATGCTTGTGTGAATCCAACTCTAAGTGATCAGACTTCCAATTATAGTAAAAACAGAACATATTGATGAGTGTATTTATTAAGAATGCTGTATAGTGGAAAGTAGAGAATCTGACAGGTGACAACTATATTCAATTACCCCAGATATTTGATTCATGGAAAATTAACTGATAGCATTGAAATACTAAATAAATCTCTGTTTTAACAAAAGGGCACTGTGATTTGAAGACTTCAAATAAAATAAAATAAAATAAACAATCAGAAAATTTAAACAAAGTAAGATAAAACTGCCTGGGTTGTATTCACATGTCATTCTGTGGCTCATGCTTTGTTAGGTTTGATGAGTATATGTAGGTCGGACGGATAGTGTAGGAGGCCTAAAACATGGTGGTTGTCTGGACTTGGATGTGAGTCAAGCAAGCATTCATCTCTCTAGAACCACCTGTTCTGTCCTCCCACTCAAAAACACTGGCGACCTTGAATCACAGACTGCAGTGGCACATCATAATGACTCATTTTAGCTCAAACACAGTTCTATAACTGTTACACAATTCTGTATTCAAACTACACATATTGCTATACAAGAAAGACTGATCTGTCTTCTCTGAGCTGTTTTTCCAAACATGTTAAGAGCATTACAACTAGAGCCAGACCGATATATCGGCGCGACGATATTAGGCATTTTCCTAACTATCGGTTTCGGCCTTTATAATGGCCGATAAATTAATATTTTAAAAAATGCTGGTGCGATGATTCATGTAAGGGTGGCGCTGCCAATAAAGCACATAAAAGCTGTCACAAAGAACTGGCAAAAGTAATGATTGTGAATACATCAAATATAGCAAGGAGACATTTGAATTTTTTTATTAATAAACAAGTGTTTTCAGTCAGTGTCGCTGCAAAGTTGACAACGCTGACTCGCGATCTTCAGTGAACACGCCAGAGAGAAATGCACATTTCATACGGATTACAGCAGAGAGCAGTCTGTCCTTCATTTTGAATTGTTCTGTTTTAAAGTAGATATTTCAATATAGATATATTTCTGCTGAGTTTTGGTTAATTTATGAGACGAGTTGCAGTTCACGCGCCGGCGCCTCCGTGTCGAGATTATCTATTGTCTGCTATATTTACTTCTTATTTATTAAATCCAGCCAATTGGTTGATGAAACATTGATTAAAATTAAGATACAATTAATACAAAACGAAATTCACTTTAATGAAAGGCTTTGTGCTTTCTGTTTTGAGGTCTCTGTGAAAGTTTTAAAGTCTTTTAGTGCCGCTTTCAGAGCTTGTCACATCCGTTGTTTTTTCCTCATAAATGCGAACAAGAAAAATAAAATAAAATAAATATTTTATGTTCTGTTGAGAGCCAACCCTTCTTCATCCGGTGGGTAGTAGCCTATTACTTTTGATTTGTGCAGTGTAATTCACAGAATTGATTTCTCTTCTACAGCCTCTGTCACGTAGGCCTATGGGCTATATGCACGCATAACTTCCGCGTTTGACGCAAGGATGCTCTTGCGTTTCCGGTTGGGGAGATTTAAAGCGGAGAAAAACGGGATTATGGCAGAGTCTTCAAAATTTACTGTCCTCTCGTCTTTGAAACGAAACTTTAATACGTTTAGATGTAATTTTATATATAGTTATGTTTATTTAATATAATAAACACAGAAGCATAAACAAAAGGGGGGGTGTCTGTTTTGTCTGTTTTTGTGACTAACGTTTCTTTAGTATAGCAATATAGTATAAAAACCAATATAAATTCTCGGTATAGCATTGGACTCTACGATCGGCGGATGTAATCCAGCATCCTTAGACCTTCACCGGAAATACCGCCGTGCATAGAGCCCATTGTGTGAGCTTGTGACTATTGCAAGCGCGCAGCTGAGAAGTCCTGATTATATTGTCTGCTATATTTACTTCTTATGTATTAAATCCAGGCAATTGGTTGATGAAACATTGATTAAAATGCGTTGCGCGAGCGACAAATCTCCGACAGTAAACTGATGCCCCATTCTGCTTTGTAACGGGCGCTTTTTCGCGTCTAGGGTAAACAGCTGTTGCGACGCGAGCAATAACGGCCGCGTCCGGTGTAGACAGTGTTGAAGCTCATTCTGCCTAACGCTACGTAACACAAGCAATCATTTATATAATTATATCACTATGTTTCACGTTTAGTACATTTTGCTTACTACTTATTTAAAAATTGAATAAAATTACTGTACATATGTAATTAAAACATTTTCATTATGATATTATTAATTTTACTTTAGTAAAAAGATCTGAGTTCTTCCTCCACTGGTAGAGATTAGAGGAATTAAGACTAAAAAGATCTGAGTTCTTCCTCCACTGGTAGAGATTAGAGGAATTAAGACTAAAAATAGAAGATAATATTTTACATTAAATTAATACATGATTAACTAACTGTATTTTTTCTATGTACATTTCTGAAATGCACTTTCTGTAAAGCTGCTTTGCAACAATATGTATTGTGAAAAGCGCTATACAAATACATTTGAATTTAATTGAATAAGGTTTTGTCAGTGACACTTTTGATATATTTATTGATATGTTAAGTTTTATATAACGTGACTAAATTAAAAGACAAAGTCGTTAGTGAAGATTATGCAACAGTATAATATAACATGCAATGGAAACTAGTTTGGTTACAGCTCAAATGTATCTGTTATAATGTTGAGAGCGAACCCAAACGCAGACGATATGCAGACACTCAAGGTTTATTACGACACAAAACAGAAAACAAAACCCACGAGGGGGCAAAACAGGACTGGAAATAGTATACCTTGACTAAGACAAGATGACAAATTAAGACTCTGACTTGACAGGAAACAAACAACAAAACAAACTCACAATTCTCATTAAACTGGATACAGATGAAACACTCACAGAGATTAACACGCAATGTTTGACAATGTACCGACACAGGACAGCAAACACAAGGGGATAAAATAGGGAGACACTAATGACAAAGACAGGTGAAGCTGACTAGACAAGGACAGGTGAAACTGACTAGACAATAATGACGAGACGAGGATAACAAGGGGGCGGGGTAACGTAACGAGACAACACAAGCACATGGCTAAAAACACAAGACCATGTGCTTGCACACAAAACATGATTCTGTCATGATCCTGCCTCAAGACAAGAGAAAATCAAGGACACGAGGGCAGAATCATGACAGAACCCCCACCTTAAGGAGCGGCTACCAGACGCTCCTCAAGGGGACATCAAACACGGGACATGACAGACTGAGACATCGACATAAACCAACAAAACATGACAAATAACAGTAACGGCAAACACGAAAACACAACAACAGGGTTAGGATGCAACAATAAAAATAACAAACAAGGAAGAGGTGGCGGAGGAAACACAGAGTTCATGGGGGGTGGTCCAGGTTGGATGGGTGTGCTGGGGGTCTTCGGAAAACGGGCTGAGGGCTTAGGGCGAGGAATCCGGGCAGGTTTGGATCGGGACACATGAGGAGTCTTGGAGGAAACAGTCCGGGGTTGATTAGGGACAGGAGGAACAGTGGACGACGGAGAGGGAATCACGACAGGAGAAGCTGAGGGTGGCGAGACAAGACTTCTGACTGGGGAAACAGCGGGAAAAGGAACAGGACACATAACAGGGGACGTAGCAGACGGCTGTGGAGCGGGAACAGAACTCACTGAATCAGACTCGGCACACATGAAAACAGACTCGGAAGAAGCGCTGTCTGCAGCGGGCTCGCTCTGTGACTGCAGCGGGCTCGCTCTGTGACTGCAGCGGGCTCGCTCTGTGACTGCAGCGGGCTCGCTCTGTGACTGCAGCGGGCTCGCTCTGTGACTGCAGCGGGCTCGCTCTGTGACTGCAGCGGGCTCGCTCTGTGACTGCAGCGGGCTCGCTCTGTGACTGCAGCGGGCTCGCTCTGTGACTGCAGCGGGCTCGCTCTGTGACTGCAGCGGGCTCGCTCTGTGACTGCAGCGGGCTCGCTCTGTGACTGCAGCGGGCTCGCTCTGTGACTGCAGCGGGCTCGCTCTGTGACTGCAGCGGGCTCGCTCTGTGACTGCAGCGGGCTCGCTCTGTGACTGCAGCGGGCTCGCTCTGTGACTGCAGCGGGCTCGCTCTGTGACTGCAGCGGGCTCGCTCTGTGACTGCAGCGGGCTCGCTCTGTGACTGCAGCGGGCTCGCTCTGTGACTGCAGCGGGCTCGCTCTGTGACTGCAGCGGGCTCGCTCTGTGACTGCAGCGGGCTCGCTCTGTGACT